CACTGGCCGACTGAGGGCGTATTTTTCTATCCGTATTATCACCTCATGAATATTAATTTTAATAATTAACACAAACAATTACAATAAAAAATTGGTTTATATATTGAACTAAATGGGAAATTATACATGCGAAAAATACGTATTTTTCAAATTTTAATGCATTTTCAGGAAGCTTGGGTAATTTTGGGCAATTTTTGCTGAATCTTGGGTAATTTCGACCCAGTCATTGGGTATATCAAACATTGTGAGTGGTCACGCTGTGTGCGATGGTTCAGGAATGTAGTTGTTACCCGAGTTATAATAATAATAATATTTATTTGGCATCAAAAAGACATGTTACAGTATTGTCAGGAAAGAGAATGGGCATAAACCCGAACAAGAAAAACTTGCACTCTTATCTAACATCTTAACTACAAATTAACAGCTCAAATTAAAAACATCAAATTAACAACAACAACAACAACAACAAATTACCTTCAACCAATCAACTGCAAAAAAAACAGTAACAAACAACAGAAATAAACAAACAAAATGTAAAGGAGAGAAAAACAAAAAGCAACAAAAAAGAGGATATTATTGATCCATAAACAATCAACTAATACATTGAAAGGAAGTGTTTTGTAAGGGCTGATCTGAAACTTCCAATTGATGTTGATTGTTGAATATCCACAGGAATTTCTTCCCATAGTCTTGGAAATGCAACAAATGCAGAATTTAGAAAGATATTACCTTTTGCATTCCAATGGATCAGTCTACCCTTACATCTTTCACTAAAATTAACATATTTATCAAAGGAAGATGGGCAAAAGCCGTTGATAATTTTATAGCCTAAAGTTAATTTTTGTAATTTAAAAGTATCTTCTATAGTAAGAATGTTTAAAGATTTTAGCCTATAGTGATAGGATGTTTCCCAATTACCTTCTTTTCTAAACATAATAATTCTAGTAGCTCTTCTTTGTAGACTCTCAATTTTGTTAGTGTTATGTTTATCACCAGGTGACAACATTGCACAGCAGTTAGTTACAATAGGCAATACAAGTGCTTTATATAGGTTAAGCATTGCTTCCCAAGACATATTTTTGCTACACCTAACAAAACCAAGAATTCTACTAGCTTTAGTACATACATAGTTTACTTGAGTGTGACATGTAAGTTTAGAATTAATAATTAATTGTTCGCCTATACAGACCCTATAATGTAAGGTCTGTGGCCATGGCCTATACGACGTATTGTTTTCTTGTCTATTAATTATTTTACATAAGCTTAATACAGACATTGATTATGATCATTAACCTCTGTTGTATGTTATAACCGTATTATTGCTCGTTAAACCAGGTAGAACTTTTAATCAGTTGGTGAATTGGCATTAGGTTATTCATCAATCGGCAGACACTGCATACTCGTTCTGCACGAATGGGCATGTTTTTCCCTATCTAATACAAGCGTAACCACAGAAACGTGTATTTCTATTGTTATCATCTCTATGAAGGGCGTTTACAGTTAATGTTCTGGATTTTAGGGCGATGTATTTCGTGTTTTTTCGTGCTTCAAATCAATCATTAAATCATTTAAGAACGTATAGGCCTAGACATAATAAACAACGAAACATAAAGCATCAATTACTGTAAGCTTTATTATTATATTACGAAAAATATAATTTGGCAGTATACTAATATTATCAACATTCTTCTTCTTACTCTTCTTCAATATATGCATCGACACTGTAATATGAAAATAATAAAATCCGTTGGTTTGATTATCAACATATAAATTCGTTTGTTTCAAATAGATAAAACGAAATATATTACGAATCTTAAAACAATATTATTAACTTACACAAACATAATAAAATCCACTGTTCGTTTGTTCCAAATAGGTCAAACGAAATATATGAATCTTAAAACATTATTAACTTACACAAACCTAATAAAATCCACTGTTTATTTGTTTCAAATAGATAAAATGAAACATATGAATCTTAAAACATTTATTAACTTACACAAACCTAATAAAATCACATGTTTTGTTCGCAAACTCATCGCAGTATTAATGCCATTGAATTGCTTAAAATGACATTAATTAATTTGCAGCAAAATACCTGATAATACAACACGATTATTAACATATGATTGCACATATAATGTACATTCGTTTGTTTTAAATAGATAAAACTAAATATATGCCATCTAAATCATTAAAAACTTATACGGGACTTACACAAAACCTAATAAAATCCACTGTTGTTTTGGAAAACTAATGGCAGCATAATAATGCCCGGATTTCCTTAAAACCACATTAATTATTTGGCAACATAAAAAGACCTAACAATAAAACACGAAATAATGGATACTGTAGCAGCAATAGCTTTGCGCCTACTTGGTGTTCCATACAAATATATCATTATTATTATTATTATTTCAGGTATATATTTATTCAATCAGACATACAACAAAATAAATTTATTACAAAATTACTTAAGAAGATACATTCAAATGTACAAATCTATATATAAAATTATTCATTATAAAAATTACTCATTACAAAATCATTTAAAAATTACAATTCTATATACAATATTATTCATTATAAAATTATTCATTCATTAACAAAGAACATTCGACAACAGTAACCTTTGGCAATAGAGATTGAATTGGAGGCTACTGGGTTAAAATAACATTACTGTACACAGGAACAACAACAACAAAAAAAAAGCCAATAAAATTTAACGAAAAAAACAATTATAAATTAAATATCACCATTAAGTGAACTCCGTCAACAAGGAAAATAAAGAAAAAAGAAAAAAAAAAAAGAGGCTGGCTGACCGCCGAAAGAACACTAGATGTTATTTAGAAGAGTCGTCATGTAAGGCAAAGGGCTGTTACGAAACCTTACAGTTTTAACATTATAATCCTTATATCGTTTTGTATTACGGAGGCACATGCCATGGGCCGAACTGGTCCTACACCCTTCTAAACCGACTTGACCTAGGCCTATGCCAAACATTTCCTCCATGGCCAAACCTACTTGACCTAGGCCTATTCCAAACCATTTAACTACACTGTACTGCATTGTGAATGCGTCATCGGCGTTCCATACATATACACGCATTGGCGGCCGTTCTGGAGGGCGGCCGATATGGGCCTAATTATTGTGGTTGCATATTATCTCAAACATTTGGTCTAAAAGCCATTGACTATACCCCACACTGAATGGGATCCACCGAAAATTCACACAAACCCCTTATTTTAGACGTGCGTTCAATATATATAAAGTACCAGGACAATGGACTTTCACAGATACAGGGTAGGCCTACCACCTAAGCCCCACCATTGTTAATTGAAAATAGTTGTTTAAATCATGGAGCATACCATGGTGGGTATATGAATCATTGAAAATAATTAATATGGGACATGACAGACAGGTACCGCCTTGTTGTGGTTGGTAGTTAGGGTAAATAGAGGGCGCTATATGATGAAAAACGACAACCGAAAACGTATCAAACAGCGTGGGCGGCAGCAAAGCATAGACTTGTACACCAAGTCCTTTGTGTAGTATCGCCACGCCCCCATTTTCAGCCTTCGACACAGTTCACAGAACAACCGAGTGTCAGCAAACAAGCGATCAGCTGCGACACAATTTTTTAAGGTAGACAATAACAACAAAGCAACAAGTACGAGCGGGAAGTGTATGTTTATTGCACAATTAATTTCGGTTGAGTATAAAGGTACAGTATACATGCTATTGATGGTTGTTGTGTATTTCACAGATTTGAACTACATTAGTAGGACAAAAAATCCCGAAATTTTGGGACGGAGGAAACAATTACTGGACGAAGAAAGGCCCGCTCTTCTTGACAACAGGCTGGATACAAGATACCACGTGCGGAAATAGCTCGTCTGTTTTGTTTTTAAGGGTGGGGGATTAAACGGAATGGCAGAACTTAACAGCAGCAAATACACTTCTTGGAATACTACTAGTGTATACGAGGTAGACACGGCATATGCTGCCCGCTGTCTTCTTACTTTAGCTGCAGCGAAAAACAGAAAAGCACACTCCGAACTGTCTGCCGTCTCGGGCCTAAAACGCGAGTCTGAACAGGAAACGACTAAGCACGGTGGCGAAGAAAACAACAAGAACGATAGCGAGGTGTCAGTAGTATCGGTAGCCCGTATTCTTGCCGATTTGAAGTGTTTTTCCCCTTCTCATTCTGACTGTCCTCCGTCCCCTACAAATTCATTGGACTGCTACTCTGGGGGTTGTTTAGAGAATTTTGATAGTGGGTATTCGGAGAGCGACCAGTCTAGGTCTGGAACACCTGTCGAGATGGATAAGCAACGTGGTGGAGGGAAACAAAGGACCAGGCGAAATCGGTCCCGAAGTAACAGTGGCAATCAATTCAACACGAAGAAACATGAGTGTCATTATCCAAATTGTTCAAAGGTTTACGGGAAATCATCTCATCTTAAAGCTCACCTGCGAACACATACGGGTAAATACGATTTTCATATTTTTTGTTCTACCTGTCTTTGTTTCCTTTGTCACATCATCACTATCGGTCTTTGTGTTTACAAATTCGGTGTCCTGAATGAACAATTGCACATGTGGGCTTTCCAATTAATTATGATAGCACATGAAAATTTGTTTTCTACAATCATTGTGTTCTAAGAATTGATTATTTCTTCCAAAAATATTAAACTATCCACAAAAACACAATGAGAGATAATATTTCTTCCTAGAGAATAATATTATAAAATTGATATTATATACTAATAATAGAAGTGGGGATACCATCTCTGACTCTGTCACCCCTGTAGGTTTCAAGTGGCCCCTTGCAGGTACGTAACCAGGGGGAGCCGTGGGAGCTGTGGCTCCCCCACCCTCTTTGTACACAGTGTAAAAATTTAAAAGCTTGTTCTTGAGCCAATACAAATTCTTTCCTGGGATCACTTCTTTCCTGGGATCACTAAAAATGAATACTTCTAAAATACGTAAATACCGGTATGCATCAGTCCCGGTGTCAGTTATACATATAGGCCTAATAGGCTCACTACACAACACATGGGCCTAAGCATGATTTTTAATTAAAAATCTTAAATCCAAAATCTCAGCCTGTCTTTTAAGATACGGAAATTTGATATTGTATGGTTCAGTTTAGTTTTATCCTTTTGTTAGCTTCTTTAATAATTTAATAATACTAGCTTACCTAGTATTAATATATAATATAATAATAATAACGATGATGATGGTGATAATTGATTATAATATTAATAATATTAAAAAGTGAAGAAAATTGTGCTAAAGGCGAAACAGAGTTGTGATTTGTTGATCACAATTATTTAGTAGTTAAAGAATAGTAAGCCATACAGTAGTTAGGCCTACTGTAAGTTGTCCTGGATATTAAGTAGCTCCCTGATAAAAGATCATGAGAAATTTGTTGGTGCTTCATTTTGACTATATAATTGTGATTTGATGATGATGAATTTTACTATATAAAAGTGTCATTTCCAAACATCTATAAGTACTACAGTAGAACCTCAATTTTACGTGACCAGAGGGCGTACGTAAATCGGGGGATTCGTAAAATAGAGGTTGGGTTAAATTTGTGGTAACCTTTGACCTAATACGTACCTAACGCTCAATAAACGTATGTATGAACGAACGATGTTACCTAGGCTAGATCTAACTTCTAGGCCTACGAATAAAACCATGTGTCTAGTGTATTAATTCATCACTTTAAAAAAAAAATAAAGAACATGAAAATATTGTAAGATTACCTATACGACAAGTGTATAACTTGGGAATTCCCCTTCATGCCTATTCTTTCTAAACAACAGAGCTGTAGTGTTGTCTGGGCTTGTTGAGACAAACTAAAACCATGTGCGCTGCACTGGGCAAACCAACCAATTAGCGTTTGTGTACGTGAAACAGCAACCATGTGCTATGCACTGGGCAAACCAACCAATTAGCATTCATGTACGAAACTATGTCTACTCAGCTTCATGTAGAAAATTCGACCAGACGAGTTCGTCCATGGTTTGCCACACGAAGCTAAGGAGGAAAGCAATTATTTTGAGCACCATCGGTAGTTGATCATCTCACTCAGTTCACATGGTTTTAGATTATAACAACCCGGGATTAGACTCAATCAACGTTCCTGTTTAATGAAAATATGTTGCATTATGGTTTGTTTATTGTTATAGTCTTTTTACTTATGGTTGCTCTCAAAAGAGCCATTTGTTTTGCCATTTTCGGGGATTTTGATGATGTCATCGTCCATACGAGGCATACGTAAAACCGAGGGTTCGTATAACTGGGGTACGTAAAACGAGGTTCAACTGTATTTCCTTAAATTTTTTTCGCCTCGCCCCCAACCATGGTGGGGCTGACGTGGTTGTGAAATCACAGTTTTGAAGTATATAAAGTACATACAGCAGTCAAAGAAAATGTTTTTAAGCCTTGCTTCTGTGGTATATCACACAATTAATAAGATGGTTGCCAAAAATCCCTGATAAAAGATGAGATTTTTTTTTGGTGCTTCATTTTGACTAATGGTGATGTGATGATGATGAATTTTACTATTAATGAGTGATTTCTGGCCATTTAGATGTATTAGGTATTTCCTCAAATGTTCGCACCTCAGCCCGAACCATGGTTGGTCTGAGGTGGGTATCGACTCACAAATTGTCCTCCCCCCACCTTTCAAAACAGATCTGCATCCTTCCCTGGGTATGACATTAAACTACGTCGAGTCGTCACCTGTCTCAGAGTATGTCTTAGTGACTGCAGAGGCGAGGGTGCATAAATTTGTTTTTAGGATGTGATCTGGGTTTTTATGCCCATTTTTCATGATAGTTTTTTTGGATAAAGAATGTTTTGAGCAGTGGCAAATTCAAGGACCCCTCCCCCTAAATTTTTTTAATGAGAGTGTATTTCGGCCATCTAGAGGTGCCCTAATCATAAATTTTCTTACCTCACCCCTAACCATGGTGGGGCTGAGGTGGGTGGTTCCTGAGTCTGAAAATCAATCCCTGGGTCACCTCTGGATCCGACACTGTTGGTTTATTATATTACTATTGTTAGGCTTACTAATAATAGTTATGATGCATCTGTTGCAATTTTCACTTCATCCTACATACCTCACATAACAGTTCCCCCTTTTCAAAAACCTTTTGGTTTAGATCCTCTCATCAAACTTTCTAACGTTTAACTTTATTCTATATGACAAGCCCATAGCCAGGGGGGTTCGTTGGGTTCGAACGAACCCCCCTTTTCATGAAGTTTCCTTTCTTCAGCAAAGGCTGGCTAGCCTACAGTACACCTTGGGCCTATTATATTACAATGGATGCAATATTTTATTGTGCAGTAAACATTTTTGTTCTTTCTAATTCTTTATATTATAATTTATATTTATAATTTATATTATAATTTTTATATTTTTTTACTGAGATACCAAGTTGAGTCCTATACTACATGATTCAATCACTACCCCAGGGTTTGGATAGGGTTTGCACTGTGTTTTAGGGGGTTTGCGGTGTTTAGCCATTTTTGCATACAAAAAATGGCCTTTTTACCCCAAAAATAGGTTTTGACGAACATAATATTATGATTTTTTTTAATTGAGATACCAAGTGAGTCCTATACTACATGATTCAATCACTATCACAAGGTTTGGATGGGGTTTGAACTGTGTTTTTGGAGGTTTGCGGTGTTTTTTAGGTATTTTTAACAATAAATCAAGATTTTACCCCAAAATAGGTTGTTATGAACATAAAATTATATTTTTATTGACGAAGATACCAAGTTGAGTCCTATACTGCATGATTCAATCACTATCACAGGGTTTGGATGGGTTTTGCGGTGTTTATTTGGAGGTTTGCGGGGTTTAGCAATAATATATATATATGAATATTTATATGAATAAACGTGTATTTATAGCCACAGAAGGGTAGCAAGGATGTGTACAACAGTTAGGCAAATTTTGGACCTACATAGCAACATAGCTGAATCACTGAGTTGCAATCTGAAATCTATGGCGCTTTTCAAAGTGTGTAGCTTGTATTTCAGCTATGGTCACCAGAACTATGCCAGATATGCCACCGTATATTTGCTATCCCTTAACCTATCCTAGTCGCATCCACGAGCAGAGGACCTCTTAAGAAAAAATGGCTTCAGTGTGAAGAGGTCAGACATCCCCATGTCCAGAAATGCCGTCGACATCACAATTGAACAGTCAATCGTCATGCAATGTCCCATGGTGGAATTATAGATTTCAGCAGGAACTACTCGGCACATTACAGGTGGTACCTGTACACAACAGGGCAAGCCAGAGCAGGAACTGCTCGGTGTATTACAGGGATATCCAATCAGTTTGTCAAAATATAGTTTGACGAAACCCGGTTTGCCGTGTTTGTGGCCACTTTGCCAAAACTCAGTTTACCGAATTTAGTTCACTGAAAAGTTTGCCGACATCCAGTTTGCCGAAACCCAGTTTCCTGAATGTTGTTGTCACCATTGTACAAAAAACGCAGCACACTGTGTTTTTAAAAATGATGGGTGGGTCAGGGAGACGCCGTATTCAATATATAAAAAGGCAAAGTACTGGAAAACAACAATGCTGATATACAAAATTAATAAGCAAATGCTAAAACGTTAAAAGTAAACCATGACTACTCTAAGTGGTGGATATATATATATATATATATATATATAATGTAGTTCATTTATTATTTTGTACTAAATGTAATAACGGCAATTATGTAGGCGAGACCAAATGTGAACTTAGCCTAAACAACCACAAAAAATCAGCTACTGTAATGACCATCAAAAGACCTTCACTGTTGCTCACCACTTTAATTCACCGAACGATACCATCAGTGATTTAGGCTTTTAAATCTTAGGTATCAATTTCAAATCGAGGTAAGGTTGGAAGATGTACTGAGATCCGTGAATGTTAAATTGGATGTACTGTAGTTGGTTATACACATAGCCTACATATATATTATATATACATACTTGATAACGATATATATGCAATTGTTTCTTTTTCGTATTTGCTTATATATATATATATATGTATTTCTCCTTTTTCATTTCTCCTATTTTTACATGTGCGCTT